CTCCTTTGTCCCCTAGGGCAGCTAGAACCCGCTGTGCCGACGGGAAGGGCCTGTCGCCAAACCAAGTGAGATGTTGTTAGGCCCAAAAAAACTGAAAAACATGTTTATCTCGGCTTCTGCTTGTTATCCCAGTAAATATCCTTATCTTAGCTTTCACTGTTGTTTCCCATGCATGAAGCTACACGTATACAGGATGTATAGAAGATATATGGCAAAGGGGAGTGGGTTGGACGGACCCTGGGAAAGGAATGTGAAGGACGGGAAGCTAAACAGATGTATCCTGATTACTACTAGGACTGAATTTAAACAATGCATAGGTTAGCAGAATTTAGACACGCTAAGTTGTTTGTCTCTCTGTATAAAAAGGGCCCAGTTGTGCTTGTAAGGTGTGTCTCTTTCTCAGGCACTAGCCGAGTAGAGCACCCTCTCAGCTGACTGACTAATAAAGGGTCTGGTATTTGTCCTCTTGTCTCTCCGTGCCTCCTTGGGGTAATTGGGCAGCTCCAGGGGGGAAACGAGCCCATTTGGCTAACAAAATGGCGACCACGAAGGGACTTCTCTCCCTGTAGAGGGCACTGACCGACGGCCGAGGGCGATTCCGAGGAGTGGCCACCTCGAGCTGTCGTTTTGCTCGGGCCTCGGATTGTCACTATCGGCCGGGGCGGCTGCGTCCTCTCTGAAGAGAACTCCGAAGGGGGGGAAGTCTGACTGCCGGACGCGGCCACTTCGGGCGGTAAGTGCGTTTACCTCCTGGGTTTGAGGAATAACGCCCCCGAGGTGTGGGTTGGACAGTGGAAATCCCCTAGGCAGCCTGTATACAGGAAGGTATGTTAACATTATTGTAGCTTTGTAAATGTCTTGTTATTGTGTTTTTGGTTAAAAAGGGTAAGCAAATAACGGCCAATGAGTAATGTAACTAACTCCACAAGTCCATGGGCCGTTTTTAACCATTATTGGGATTTGGAACAACCTCAGGGAATACTCTTGTTTCTGGGAGGGGTAATCTTATTTCTCCTCTTAATGGTGTATTGGAAACCAAGATTGTAACTGATTAAGGGTTCTGTGTGAGAGATGAATGAATGCCGCTGACAGGTCTGAGGCTTAAGCTGACTTCAGCCGCCCCAAGACTCCTGCGAGGGGAAACCCGGTGACCAGGATATCTTGATTGCAAGGGGGGTCAGCCGAACCTCGTGACCCAGCGGATATCTGAGTGAGGACTAGATCCCTACCCCTTCTCCCTCTTGATACCTCTGTCTCGGAAAACTCTGGACAAAGCAGAATGGGGTCTGGACAAAGCACTTTCTCCGGGACACCCCTGGGATGTATGCTGGATAACTGGAAGGCGTTTAGACGCCAGGCTGACTATGGAATTGTATTATGTAAAGACAACCTTGTGAAATTCTGTACTCTTGAATGGACGACATTTGGGGTGGAATGGCCTGAGGGAGGGACACTCAAACCAGGGATTGTACAAGCTGTACATAGCATTGTGACCCAGGATGGGCATTGGGACCAATATCCCTATATAGACATTTGGCAGGACCTTGTGGCCAATCCTCCCCCATGGTTGCAAAAATGTAAAACACAAAATATTAAAACCTTAATGGCCCGTGCCCCTATTAAGAAACCCTGTCCCCCTGTTAAGAAATCTTGTCCGCAGGCTGTAATTCCCTCGGCCCCTGATCCTATGCCCCCTCCCCCTTTGTATCCTGGCCTCCCCGTTCTGGCATCCTCAATTGAAGACTCCCCCCCTATCTCTGAGGATAATGCCTCAGCTGAAAGGGGTGAGCCAAGCCACCAGGGCTCTTCCAAACAGGAGTCCCCTTCAACCCCTCTGAGCTCCTCAGTGTCTGACCGCACCAGGAGCAAGACTGGCCACATAACAAATCAAAATTCCGAAACGCAGTGGAGGATGTCAGCTGATTATAACCCTGGGGATACTAGATTTACCCTTATTGGCTGCCCAGGCAAGAGTGGTAGGATAACCGAAATGCCCTTGCAGCAGAAATACTTATGTCCACTGCGGGAGGCTGTAGCCCCCAATGGTGAACTCACTATGATATATGTCCCCTTTACTACTAGTGATCTATATAATTGGAAACAACAAAATCCCCCGTTCTCGGAGGATCCTGCCCCGCTAACAGCAGTGTTTGAGACCTTAATTACGGCCCACAACCCTACTTGGGGTGACATGAGGGTCGCTCTTAACACTCTATTAACAGCGGAAGAAAGGCGTTTAGTCCTCTCAAGGGCCCGTGAGTGGGTACTTGAGACAGGGGGAGACTCGGCCACAGTAGCTACGCGGTTGCCTGAGAGCCCTCCTGACTGGAAAAATGATGCGGCAGGCCGGGCCTCTCATAGCCAATACGCCACGGCTATAGTCCAGGGGATGAAACGCTGCATTAGAAAAACCCCAAATTGGGCCAAATTATATAATATAAAACAGGAAAAGAATGAGAACCCAGCTGCTTTTTACGAACGGCTTTGTAATACCTGTAAAAGATACACAGACCTCGATCCTGAGGATAGCAACGGGAAACGGGTGCTAATCCCCCTTTTCATTGGGCAGTCCTACGAGGACATTAGAAAAAAGTTGCAAAAACTGGAGGGGGCATCGGGCAAAAATATAGAGGAACTTTTAGAAATAGCCATGAAGGTTTATGATCGGAGGGATGATGAGGAGCGGAAGAGAGGGGCCCGCGTTCTAGCCATGGCCCTAAGAGAGGGATATACAGAGAGGGGGGGCAAGGTTAAGGGACGGCCAGGGCCACCTGGGAAGGGGAGGGGCCCTCGCCTGGGTCGAAATCAGTGTGCTATCTGTAAGGAAGAGGGGCACTGGAAGAATGAGTGCCCCCGGCGACAGGCAATAGGAAGGGAACGTAAGGATAAATTCCCGTCCCTTCCCATTCTCTACAACGGTATGGGACGTTCAGGGGAGGAATCTTCCCCATAGGGGGGCCAGGGGACCCAGCAGCCCCTCCTGGCGGCGCAAGCTGCCAGCCTGGATCCCACGGTGAAGATTAAAGTGGAGGGCAGCCCAATTGAAGCCCTTATTGATACTGGGGCCACCCTTAGTTTGCTCCCCCTTAATAAGGCTCCCCGAGGTAGAGCTCGGGAACGTGCCATGGTCCAGGGGATAGAGGGACAAACTACAGTTTTGGAAAAAACTCTGCCTCTCCTAGTAAAAATAGGGGACCATCAAATTTCCCATCAGTTTGTTTGCAGTCCTTCCTGCCCCATAGCGCTGCTCGGACGAGATATCCTCACTAAATTGCAGGCGGAGATCTCATTCGATAATGGGACAATGGAAGTCAGAATCCCTAAGCAACAAGCCTCTAATTACCAGATGGCTCTCATAAATGCTAGAGATTACTCCCTGGAATGTAAGGGAAGTGATGGAAGCCAGTTGGGGTGTGTGTGTGTGTGTGTGTGTGTAAATCCCAAGGTCTGGGCAAAGGAAGGAGGCA